CCTTCTCACCCCTACTTCAACCAGCACACTAATTACCTTTGAAGGATAGTGTGCTTGGATCAGTCTCACTTTAATAAATGCAGATAAGAAGAAATGCCTAATCAAATAGGCATAAATGCCCATTTCGAGGATAACTATTTTTCTGCCTAGTCAAATAGTCCCTCGTGAAATAGAAACGATAAAACATTAGGAAAAACGGATGAGCAGATAATGAGCTTTACCAACAATTGTACATGTCACTGTGCAACAGCTCACAAAATTACAAAGTCACTCTCAATATAATGCAAAGTTATATGACATATTGCATGGCAATACAGGTCCACAATCCCCCAAGTTCTAGAGAGATGTCATCTTCATTGACAACCCTTGAAGATTTAACTTTTAAGATTAGCAGTTTCGCAATGCTAGTTCTGCTGTTTCTCTGCCTCATGTTCCACAAAAGAAATGCGGAATTTTTGCAATTTTTTCCATAGTTCAACCTACTTCTGCTGCTGTTATTTCTGAAGGACTTTGCTGTTTGGACAATAAGCAAATCTACAGAAAATATTTGCAAAAAACTCGCAAAACCCACACTTTTCACCTTTTGCGGAACAAATGAGGAGAAACGAGAAGAATTAGTTTTACAAGAAATTCTGAAGTATGCCTTTATTGCTGGTAAAATATCAAAAGTAAACCATTGCTAATCTTAAATATTCAAAGGTTGTCAATGACATTCGGATGTCTATCAAGGACTTCGAGTCATGTGGATTTGATGTAATGTAGCAAGCTTTCACCGCCTAGATTTGATCCCATCACTTAAAAATCAACTTTAAATAGAAGATGCATGAAAAAATTGAGGAGTAACGCAGATGTTCAACACATTCTAAAGTAACAGTACTCGATCTTGGGAAGATTATTCACAATACAGAGCTAGAAGTTCGTACGGGGAAGCATGGATCAATTTTTTATAATGTTTCTTACTATACTGATTTGTGTCCAAATAATTTGTCAAGATTTGGTCTGTTTCCAGAGCCACTGGATATTTCTCCCAATATATTTCGAAGCAGTATATATTTTTTACCTTTCCACCAACAATGCTCCAAACACCATCACTGTCTTCTTCAATTTCATAGGCGCTTGAACTATCAATAGATAGTTGTACTGGAGGGTCCTGATAGGTTCACATAGCAGAAACTAGTAAATACATGAGTAGAGACAATATTCGTAAAATTAATGACAATTCTGCTTACCTTAACATAGTGATTTTCTATAGTTGATAGTATAGGAAAGAGCTCTGAACTGTGCACATAACCATCCAGCTGAGAATCCTTTCCACTAATGCAAGTCAAAGATATTCTAGAATTGTCTGATCCCATATCATTACTGAGTGAGGAAGTCAAACACTTCTCACCTACAATCTTCCCATCAAAGTAGAGGTGCAAAAGATCTTGTGTGACCTGAAATACTCCACTAATAAGTGTTGCTTAAACAGCCATGAAACAAGACAGTCACCAAGAATCTGGCTGTCAGAGAAGAGCAGATAACAACCTTACGAGATCTTTGGACAGGTGATAGATTTAGATGATGATTCAATTAGTGTATTACCTTTGTTCCATATCAAGGAACATCTTATAAGATCTCGTTTGTGCATTACATTCAATTTTTTCTTACACATCATGTCACACCAGTAATTATACTAATTCTGGTCTAGTTTGTGCTGTCAGAACAAGCATACTGATGTCACTAGTCTAGTATGTTGGATGGAAACCAGTGAAGCAGATGACTCATGGAGCTATTGGATAATGAGTTTCACATCAATCCGGCTTTGCTAACTTTTGGGGCAGAAAGACTTCACTTGACAAAGTGAAAAGCGACTAGGTGTAGGCCAGTCTTTTAGTTTCCGTACTCTTGTGTTAAAATTTGCTTTTCCAGAGAAAACGTAACGACAAAATCAATATATCTAATATAGTGACAATGAGCAAAAAAATTAACTGTAGAAGGTAACAATGGGCATGGTGGAGTGAGAAAGTAGTAACACAACAAGGGTAAGAGTATATAAATTGCAAAACACACATCAAGTGCTAAGAATGTAATTACAGGAACTAGGGCGAGTCCAAGTTATTTACCTCACATCCAACATGAACCCATTTCTTGGTAGGAAATTCACATTCAGAAATTGCATGTGCAACTTCTCTCCAGGAAGTAATATTTGAATGGCTTGAAATTAGTGAAGGGAAAAGTAAAATCTTCTTCCTCTCATCAAGTAACAGGAAAGGAGCATGGGATGTGACATCTGGATGCTCCTGCATAATTGGCAAGCATTATCAACCATATCAAAGGCAAATGGTGCAAAGGACAATTATTTCTTGCACAACATATTCAATGAAGTGATCATAAAAATTCAAAAGCCTCTTCCTTGATAATACGAGGTATGGCTAGGTTTATGTCTTTATCGTGAAATAGTTGCAACTCTCAAAAAATCCGTTCTTTAGTAGAAAAACATGATTTGCAGACAGCTATAAGTGGTCACAGATTCAATTACCAAAAATCAAGAGCTAATGCAGGCACACAAAGTAATAATGAGATAAGAGTATAGGCTTAAATAAAGACAGTAAGGGAATCCAGAACACAACATAAAAACTAAAAAAAGACTTTGCTAAGTTGCAAACCTACCAAACAAACTGAACTTAGGAGGGTATCAGCACAATTAATAAGAAAAACATATCCATAAAAGCAAAAAACAGAAGAGCATGAACAATTCACATTAGCCTGAAGAAACAATTTGCAACTCGCCAGTTCCTAAATCACGGACAAGCTATAAAGTAAAAATCTTTCCACAAGACAACAACAACAACATATTCGGTATAATCCCACAAGTGAGGTCTATAGAGGAAAGAGTGTACGTACACCTCACCCCTACCTCGGAAGGTAGAGAGGCTGTTTACCACAGACCCCAGCTCAAGGAAAAGCATATAAAAGAGGTAAAGAAAGCATGACAAAGCATTCTAAAAATCTTTCCACAAGAGTATAACCTAAATCAGCAAAAAGAAAGTAACCGCCATAAGAATGTTAAACCAAAGGAATACCCCAAAACCCCATCTCATTCCCAACACGAACAACAGTCATACACTAACTAGTTAGACAAAATGAAGCAGCAAATACACAAAACTGATACACATAACTTCTCAAAAAGAACTGAAAAAACTGCATTTTTTTCAGTGAGCAAAAAAAAAAAGGAAAACCTGGTAAAGGATTGTAGAGGGTAAAGTTGAGGGTTCATTCAAGTATAACCAGAAACACAAAGAGAACTTATTTGTAACTTCATAATCTTTGAATTCCACTTGAAGATCTCTCAAAAAGCTATAATCTTGAACACCCATAGAACCCCTTTCTCAAAAAAAATCAAAAAAGAAAACACCCACAAGCACAAAATCCCAGAAAAAAACGATCTTTAATCTTTGTGACTCAACGGCGGCAATGGCTGCGTCGGTTTTTCTTGACGGCTGTTAATTAACGGTTTGGTAGTGTCATCGGCAGTTCAGGTTCTAGTCTTTACAGTTCCCCCCATATTGAAGTATTTGGCTATAATCCTCTGTATCGCGGACTTATGTATATTTGAATGGTGACCAATAAGGATGTGACATGTAGGATTTCAAAGAAGATTGATTTTTTTTTCAAAGTGGAAGTCAAAGCTAAAATCTTCTTTTTTTTCAAAAAAAATCCTCCAATTTCATAATTTCTTTTTTTTTAGCCTCCGTTCATTTTTAATTGTTAAAGATACAAAAAATTAGATGTTTATATTTATTTGTTTTGTTTGGAAAGCTAATAGATAATTTATCGTTTATACTCATTTTACCTTTATTATTAAGTAATCATTATTTTTAATTCATTTCCTAATGAGTAAGATGATTTATAATAATTAGAGGTGATATAGTAAAATAATTATTTTATTTGTTGCTTATTAAAAGATGTGTCAAGTTAAATATGGACGCAAGGAATAGTATTTACATTTTGAAAATGTTAAGGTTTTTGGTACAAAGAATGTTGAAACTTGAAAATCGAAAAGCATTTCATAATAAAGACTTTACGAATAGTCATATATATATATAAAAGAGAACCCTATACTCACCTACGTGGCGCCACCACAAACCAAAATTCCCTTATAATTTATTTATTTATAAAACTAGTCCTCCCCTTTCATTAAATATTGTGACTTTTATGAAAAGTTGCGACTTTAATGAACAATTGCGGCTTTAATGAAGAGTTGCCACTTTTATGAAAAGTTGCGATTTTTATGAAAATTGTGACTTTTATGAAAAGTTGCGACTTAATAAAGAGTTGCGACTTTCATGAAAAGTTGTGACTTTTATGAAAGGTTATGCCTTTTTTGAAGGGTTGCACCTTTTCCAAATAGTTGTAACCTTTTCGATAAGGCACAATAAACATTTGTTCCCACTACCCTTTGTTGTCTATAAATAGAGGGATTTCCTCTCATTTTTAAACAACGAAAATTTTGAACTTCTTCTTCTTCTTCACAATTAAATATTTGTGTACTTTGCTACTGTTGAGTAACTCACTAACACCATTGCTTATGTTACAGATCCTGGTATGTATTTTTACAATCATTAATTTATGCTTATGTTATTAAGAATAAATGATAAAATGTTATCATTTTCATTTTCATTTACATTATTAATGTTTGTTACCACGTAATCTTCTATGTAAGATAATATAGTGTTTAATTTTAATGACTAATAGATTTTAAGTAATTTTATAAATTTCGTGATATTAAATTCCCGTGCGAAGCGCAGATAATTTTACTAGTTTACTATAAAGCTAAAGAAATTGTGGGTACATAAGTGATCACATAATTGTTACATTGTTACAGCATCGAATGAACAATCACAAGATAACTTTTCCCCAAATATACAAGTGCCAATAAAAGTATGAACATACAACAACATACCAAATGTAGTCTCACGAAATGGGATCTGAGGTGGATAGAATGTACGCAGAGTATGAACATGTAAGATATCTACGTAGAGTAAGCTAAAAATGAGTACATTTGACCAACTTATATATTATGTATATGTGAACATATGAACTTTAACACATCACACAGAAGAAACTCTCAAGTTTGATTGAAACTTTAGAAGCAACATTATTCCTGCATATGAATAATTCTGCAGCTTGATATCTTGAATTTCTCGTGAAATCGATAACCTTTGGTATTCTACGCAGCACATTTCTACTTTGGCTTCAATTTCAGGGAAGCGCTGCACGAATAAGCTAGGTTTCAATCTCACAGAAATGCTAATGAAAAAATTCAGAGCAACTGAGAATGAGCATAGACTGTATTAAAGGAAGTAAAGTAAAGTACCTATTGATGCAGTAACGCTTTCCAGTAGGCGGAGGGCCATCATCAAATACATGCCCAAGATGAGCATCGCAAGCTGCACATAAAACTTCTTGACGAGGCATGAAAATGATAGACAAGTCCATCTTTGACTTCACATTGTTGTCTATAGGCTGGTAGTACGATGGCCACCCGGTTCCACTATCAAATTTGGTAGAAGATCTGCAACAAGCAATATCTAATTTCAGGTTTCACATGCCAAAAGTATTAAGAATGGTTGAGTAATAATCAAATATAAGGAGAATACATACTCAAATAAAGGAGTGTCGCAGCAAATGCAGTGATATGTTCCAGGGGTCTTACTGTTCCAGTACTCTCTGGAAACAAGAACAATGAAGAGATCAGTAAAACAGGCAGCGACGAAAAATTTATAGCACCATATTTACCATCCCAATGGAAGGGCACTAAGAAGTCGATGAAATTGCATCTACTACATAAGTGGTGCAATCATGGTATATCCTTAAATATAAAATATGGACTACAATTTGATTAAATAAGAAACTTGTTCAGTTATTTGCACACATAATATTAGACGTTCCAGTTAACCACATCATGTCTCTGTCAATGATCACTGGGCATTGAGAGTTGAATTCTATTCTGAACTCGTTGTTGAGGTCACTTTGGGCAAGATTCTCAAAATTAGCATAGACTATAAGAGATAATCAAGTTCCTGATTCCTGCTTCAAGGAAGATCTACGAAACACATAACTCAATATGCCGACTCCCTCCCTTGTCTTCCTCTCCCCGAAACGTGTAAATAACAAGCAAGAGGAAAAAGAGAGCAAAATTAAGTATGTTTCGTGGTCCAGTATTAAACACAGATTATCGCAAGACAATAAGAGTTGTGAAGATTCTAGAGTCGGTGTAAAAGACAATAGTTGTCGCAGGTAGCTGAAACTGGAATGCCAAGATTGTTGTAGAAATTTTAAATATCTGATCAGGACCAGATATACACATTCCCTCTAAATACTTCTCCTTTTTCCGTTTTGGTGTTAGAAGTCTACTGTTTCCCCTAAATCGTTGGGTTTATAAATGGAACCCTCACAAAAAAAATCGCTGCAAAATTACACCTACATAAACCAAGTCGTCAACCTTTTCTTCTAAAATCAATTCCTAAATCAACCAGACTTATCCTCCTCAAATATAAATGCTAACATTTGACCAATAAACAATACAACGGTAAGCATCAGAGTATTACTTGCCAATATTCAAATACCGATGCTTCCTTGAGAGAGCATCCTATTATTATTGAATTCTACTGACAATCAAAAGACAAAAGATCCACTACAGCATAAAAGGAAAAGATGAATAGAAAAAGATCATACCCAGTGAATGCCCGTTCTGTACCCTTTTGCCGTGTAATGTAAAATTGTTCATTTGTTAACTTCTTCTTCCACTCCTCATCGCTTACAGAGCTATAATCCATTTTACTGGCCCCTGCACAATGATGTTCATTTTTTATGTCATGGTAAGATGAATCACATCTCCGAAAGCTCCATACTTTAACAATTTCAGCAACATCTCATAAGATGAATAGACAAATATGCTTCACAAAGCTTAAATTTATGCCAAACCATTTTGAGACTACTTCACAAAAATACAATCAACCTCAGCAGTCTAATAATCTTATCTTAGTAAAATCAAATTGTACATTGTCACATTGATACGAATACGGACTCTAGGCATAATTCAACCCCAAAAGCTAGCTCACGAAGTGATGATTGCACAAGATGGCACATAACCACATCCCCACCGATATCTAACTCTACATACATTTTGAAAATTTTCATGTTCTTGTGGCATTTCAACTGCTTTCTTGAGCCAAATTCCCAGTTCCCAAAATTCTTTTATACTGGTTCTTGACTATTCCACAACAGTAGCTGCTACTTCCCACCAGCACAAAGTACAGGTAATTCAATCAATCTCCATAATAACTTGGTACAAAATTTGTAAGAGACACAACAAGCTCAGAACATAAAAACTAAAGACTGAACCTTTAAAGTTCTTTCATATTCTAACTTTTACTACAGTGTAAGCAAAGCTACCACTTCTCCTACACGTTTGACAGAATCCAATAGCTTTAGCTCAAACCCGTATTTATATTGAAAAAAACCCACTTAATATGTATATAAGTAACTTATCAACATTCTAGAATCCAAAACCTATAAACTAACAACAACAACAACATATTCAGGGTAATCTCATGAGCGGAGTCTGAAAGGCAATAAATTGGGGCATTCAAACAAAAATGGAAAAGTGATTCTCTATTCTTACAAATTATACTATAAGAGAGAAAAAAGAGACCTTGAGCACTATCGGGTTTCGAAGAAGAAGCTGAGGAGCCCATTGCACGAATTGAGACTGAGATTCTGTTTTTGATTCCTCCAAAAGTTAGGCAAGACAATGGCTTGCTGTTGAATCCCAATTGGGGTTTTGATGAAAAATTCAATGCTGAGCTGAAAGAGGAGATTGGTATGGTCCAAGAAGCCATGGACATACGCTAAAATTGATTCTTGAATATGAAAATGCTGGCATTTTCTAGTATTCATAGAGAATATTTTCCCATGCTTCGCAAGTCCATGGAAAGATGGTGGTTTTATCATCTTAAACCGTTAAAGCGGTTGACTTGTCCTTTCCTATCCACCGTAGATATATAACAGGATGTAATATGAGAATTAAATTTGTATGATCTGTGTATTTAAATTACAAAATATAAATATATACCGAGTTTTTCATATAGGTAGTTTTTGTTTCTCCATGTTCTTCTTAACTACTTCGAGATAGTAATTTTTTGTGATTTTTGTTTTGTATAATGACAATAGTTGAACAAAGTAACTATCGAGAATAAGTATTTTATTCTACGTTTTCAATTAGATAAGTGGAGCACGATACTTCACGAAATTTAACATTTAAAAAGAGAAAGGATTATGTTAGTGCAAGCATGATCCCTTCTACCATGCCAATAATTTCGCTTTGCATAACTTTGAAATTAGGATAACTTATACTAGTTATTACAATCTGAGATATTAATTTTGATTAGCTATATCTACTTTAGTTTATTGAAAAGAAAAGTATAAGTTATGTCGGTTTAAAATGAAGACATAATTATGCGTGATCACTTTATTTAAAAGTTCATATGTTAAAAGAGAACTTATTTATCTACGACACGGTATGTCTATCTAAAATCTTACTGGTTATGACCAGGTTTTGATCGTGAAGTCGAGTGTAGCTGAATATGCCTTATTTTGAGTAATGGTGTTCTTTCAGTTGGCCAAGATTGAGGCTTATAGATAACCACGTTAACTGAAAATAATTTTAATGGGCTTTGCATTGCTACTGGGCCTGGGCCACAAGCTTCTATTGCATGATTGGGCCTCAAGTTCTCTGACGGTAAAGGTTTATACGTTAGAGGAACTTTCACAAATAGCTACTATAATAAACTTAATTATGCTCCATAACTATAGTTTACATATTTATGTATTGTAGCTATAATTTAAGCTATCTCGTTTGTATAAATTCGCAGGTTTGTATAATTCAGTTATTTTTGTATAAACTCGAAATAACAAATTTATACAATTACAAACATTAGAAGTGTAAACAGTTATACAAATTATGAAATTATACAAAAGTTATACAAATTATATTATACAAATTCTGAATTATACAAACGTGCGAATTATACAAAACTAAAAAGCTGAGTTGCGTAATTATAGCTAAAAATAGACCGCAACTTGTAATTAAGGCAAACTATAGCTATGTTAAGTAATTAACTATTATATGTTTGCTTATATGCGTAATTTTTCCTATATGTTATAGCCATTTTTGTACGGTGGTGTTTAAGCGGCACCACTCTTTAATTATTGTTTTTGCAATTTAAATTATTTTGTTTTAAACAAATGTTAGATACTTTATTGTCCTTATTAGTACATATTAGCTATTGGTTGAAATTAAGAGAAAATAACACAAATTTCATTAATTTAGCGTCTAATTATGTGTCCTCTCATGTGTTTTCAAAATTACCAATTGCGTCAGATTTTGATCTCAGGTACATATATCTTACGTATATTAATACATGTATCTTAGGTATATGAGGTCAAAATTTGTTATAATTTATTTAAGATATATTGTATCCCAATGTGATTCACATATATTTGGGATATACTGACTCTCTCACTAGCTTGCCTCTCTCCTCTCTCTCTCTCGCCTCTCTCCCGTTTATTTTTATTTTCAGAATGTCTTGGATTGTCGCTTGTATTCCTAATACATGTATCTAGTCTTAATCGCATGAATTTGAGATACATTGTCTCTCTATGTTCTCCTTTATATCTCACTCATCTCTTTCATATCTCCTCATTTAGTCGCCTCTTTCCATATGGATTGTATTTCAGAGTATATCTAATAGCAAAAATACATATATATGTGGGTGTATCTAACTTTAAATTTGATATAAAATTATTAATTAGTGAGACAATATATAATTATTTCAAATGATAGGAAGAATTAATAAATATAATAAAAGCATTTGTAATAATTAAGTAGTTTTTCCTATAAATATAATAGGAATGTTCGTATAATTAGGTAATTTTTATAAATTTTATCCAAATATTAAACAAATTGACTATATAATAATTTGGATAAGTTATCTGTGCACTTACCTGGATCCAACGTGTAATCTACAATAAAATATTGTTTTATCACATGTGGCGTCTCCATCAATTACTCTCAAACAAGAATGACTCAAACACCAAAGCAAAATTTTGAAGAAGAAGAAAAGAGGGATAGTGTAGAAAACATGAAAGGTCTAACAACACCTTTACAATCAAAGTATTGGCACCCAACAGCCCAAAACAACCTCAAAAACCCAGAAAGTTTCAATCTTTACAGTCACCCAGTTAAATTTAATGGCAAAAACAACATCCCCATATCAAGAAAAGTGAAACCCATCTCTTGTTTTGCTTCAGAGAACACAAATCAACCAATCTTGAAAGAATCAAAGCCTCCATTGGTTGTAGTTGGATCAGCTAATGCAGATATCTATGTGGAGATTGATAGGTTACCAAAAGAAGGGGAAACAATTTCAGCCAAAACAGGTCAAACATTGGCTGGTGGAAAAGGGGCTAATCAAGCTGTTTGTGGTGGAAAGCTTGATTATCCAACTTTTTTTGTTGGTCAAGTTGGTGAAGATGCTCATGGGAAATTGATTACTGAAGCTTTAGAGAGTGGTGGAGTTTGTGTGGATCACCTTACTACTGTTTCTAATGCTCCAACTGGAAATGCTGTGGTGATGCTTCAGTCTGATGGGGAGAATTCGATTATTATTGTTGGTGGTGCAAACATGTCTTGTTGGCCTGAAGAATTGTCATATGAGGATTTGGAGATTGTGAGAAGTGCAGGGATTGTGTTGCTCCAGAGGGAAATTCCAGATTTTGTTAACATCCAAGTTGCAAAGGTTTGAGCTTTTCGGTTTTGTGTTTGATTTCTCAATGGCTATATTCATTTAGGCGAAATTCAATTTGTGTGTGGATTTGTTAAACTTAGAATCGAATATGTTAGGGTGGGTTACTGTCCACATTGGTTAGGGAATGGAGTGATGGTTTGCTAATATGTAGTTGGACAATGTGAGTTAGGCTCGGGTGCTATAGCTTTACATGGTATCAAGTTAGGCCTGGGTGTCATGCCTTTACACGGTATCAAAATTGGGAAACCTGGTCCACGTTTCAATCAGGCCTGGATGTGAATGGGGTGTTAGAATGGGTTACAACCCCACATTGGTTGGTGAACGGACGGATGGTTTGCTTATATGGACCTGGGCAGTACTCCCCTCAAGTGCTAGCTTTTGGGGTTGAGTTAGGCACACGTGTCATATCTTTATATTTATATTTTCTCACTATTCAGTATTTCTTTTAAGCTATCTTGTTTTTATGTTTTTGCTGAAACTAAGGGACTAAGGTTCTCCTTTTGAGGAACTGTTATCATACGTAAGTAAAGAAAGGTAGATCATTTTCCTTTTTGGATAAAACCGGAGATTATACTATATTAAGTTATTAACTAAACTGTGAAGCAGTACAAGGAGCATTGTGCTGGCTTGATCCAGCATCATTACAGTAGTTACTTACAGTAGTAGCGTTTAGGGGGTGATCAATTAGGGAGTCGTTACTGAAAGAAGCAGGGATAAGGGGCCCTATACAATAAGATGCTTCTAAGGGGGGGACTCGAGTGAGTTACTAGTCTACTAATAGGGGGTCCTGAGATGTCTTCCGCTAGTATACTAAGCATGAAATGATGCAAAAAAGAAGGTAGATCATAATAATGTGTTTTCCCCACCTACCTTTTTCTTGTGGTAAACTAAAATTTGCCTTGGATATCTTTTCTAATGTTGACTTGGATGATTAAGGTCACTGTCAGATCAGCTTACCCAGTTGTAATTGTGAGTTTCGCGCACTGAGAAGGGAAATAGCCTTCTTTTACATAATATTGGAGAGAACTTACTTTCATTGATTTTTCTGTGACACTCTTTTCATATTTTGACATTCCAAAATACTATTCCATTGATGTATTACTTACTTCATACTACTGTGACGAATTCAAATTCATTTAGGCTTTAGCTGTTTAAATTTCAATCTCTGATGTGATATTTTCTTTATCAAACTAACTTTCAAAAAACAGTTTCAATATTTCTTTGACTACTAAAATAATACACAAGGCAATTACTATCTTGAGCTCCATGTCTAATCAATCATCGTCATTTATTGAAATGAAGGAAGTATATTTGTGTGTGTGTTTTCGTGAGTGTGTGTGTGTGTGCCCACAAGTGTCATGAAGATGTCAAGTGTCTTTGGCTGATATGCGTCTTTAAACATCTTGGTATCTTCAGGCTGCCAGGAATGCAGGTGTTCCAGTTATTCTAGATGCTGGTGGAGCGGATTCTCCAATCCCTCTAGAACTTCTTTGTTGTGTTGAGATTTTCAGCCCAAATGAAACTGAGCTGGCTCGCATAACAAAAATGCCAACTGGAAATTTCGAACAAATCAGCAATGCAGTGGAGCAGTGCTATGACCTGGTCTGTTTTTCACGTACCTGTTTATTCATTTTTCCTAAAGTTTGCATCCTAAATTCAGGACATATATCTTGCAGCATTTCACTTGATTTAGACTTTATCCGTGACCCAAAATAACTATCCGAGTTACATTTTTGGGGTCTGAATCTAACAGTCCCTTTTGATGTGTTATAGTTACCTGCCCTTATTGATTTTGCAAAATGTAGAGGTCCTGATAGACTTTTTCTTGGTGAGTCATAAATGTCTGGTGATGGCTTTTGCTTCTCCTTATAAATGTGATGGCTTAATGCTTTGTTGTTTGTGGGGCTCTGGTTTGGTCCACCGACCTAGTAGGACATTCCTTGTTAGATTTAGCTACGTTTCCTGATTTCTTGCTCAATGTTTGGGGTGTCACAAATTACAATAGTTATCTGTAAATTTGTAATTATGTCAATTTGATTTTGTGGAATGATGTTTCCATGCTCTTTTGTTTCCCAGGGAGTTAACCAGGTCCTTGTTAAGCTTGGGGCCAATGGATCTGCTCTTTTCACCAAAGGAGAGGAACCCTTGCGGCAACCCATTATTAAAGCTGCAAAAGTCATTGATACAACAGGAGCTGGTGACACTTTTACAGCTGCTTTTGCAGTGGCCCTAGTGGAGGGTAATTCTAAAGAGGAATGTTTGAGATTTGCTGGTAAGCATGCTGGTGCTTTCTCCCAATTTTTGTTTCAGCTTCTTTAGTCTTATATTTTTTCTTCAAACATGTTTCGTTAAGATTTTTTCTTTAGCTGAGGGTCTATCGGAGACAACCTCTCTATCCCACAAAGGTAGGGATGAGGTTTGCGTACATCTTACCCTCTCTCCAGATCCCACTCGTGGGATCATTTTGGTTATGTTGTTGTAGTTTCCTATCTAATAAAGGCTTGTGCATTTACAGCTGCAGCAGCTTCTCTATGTGTTCAAGTGAAGGGAGCCATTCCAAGCATGCCCGAGAAGAGAGCAGTGTTCAATCTTCTCCAGTCAGCTTGAAGACTTGGAGTTTCCTTTTATCATCTCCTTGTACAAAAAATTAAGAGGTAGTTTTCTAAATGTTCGGAACTTCAGATTATAAGTTGGTGCTTTACCCTAATCATAGGAGGAAAAAAAACGACTGTTTAAAAAGACAGTCTCGTAGGAAGAAGTGAACGAGAGAGGACACAAGGGTATCTAGATGAAGTTCCAGTTGACAACTCCCTCTGTTATTTGTTTGTCTTACTTTCCTTTTCAATCCGTTTAAAAAAATGTCTCTTTCTTTTTTTTGGCAACTCTTTGATTCTAACTTTCCACATAACTTGTTTTAAGGCCACAAGATTAAAGAACATTTTGGTACGTTCAAATCAAAACCAAACAAACAAATTGAAATGGAGGAATAAATAATAAAATAATGTTGTCTTCACAATCTTGGATATACATCAGTTGCCCAAACATGTTGAAACCGAAAATTAGAATTTAGATGAAAGATGAACAACAAACCAAATCTGAATTTGTTATAAACTGTGATAGTGATTAATTTGAACGTCCCTCTTCCCTCATGTATACCTCTGTTGTATGTGGTTCAATCAAGTTCCCATTTCTGGTTATTGAAACAGTATTGCTTCGCATTGGTGAAAAGAATTCCTTTATTTCTTGACATGAAGGTTCTCAGGTTGATGAGTTGAAGTTCCGGACTCTTGATTTTCATAAAGAGGTGAGCAAATACTATCTATTTGCTCTTTTCTTTTGGTAAACTTTTTCCACTTTCCTTCTAAACCACCACACTTGTGCATTCAGGACTTCGGTGGAGCACTTGTTAACTTCGGGAAGTAGCACTAATCTGCATATTTTGCTGATGATGCTTTCCGCTTGTTGAATTGGGGATTCAAGATACAGCTCTGAAATACTTACTCTAGCTTTTTCTGAAGAACTTCTGGTGTAGCATAGTTTTCGATAAATTGTTCTTTTCTTGTGCTTCTGTCATCTCAGCTGATAAATAACTCCAGGAAGTTGGTTAGCATAGCTAGTCCTGTGTGCCAGGAAACTAATGAAGCAGAGGCACAGTATTTTCGTTAACGATTAATCGTTACTGGAAAGATTGCCAGTTTTGAAAAACTTGAATGATATGAGCCTCTTGTTTCTGACTGATTTACTTATATTAGTTTTGCTAGTATTCTTGTGCTCTCTTTTTTGTGTTGCCATTTAGTTTCAAGTTTGATTGCATGAAGTGAAAATATAGGAGTATTTGATTATGGTCAAGTAATAGTTGTGTTAAACACATATCACGTATTTGTAGTAAATATCTGATGCGGATAAATTTTTACGGTGAATACACCTTTATAACATTAGGTGCAGTTATTTTAATTCAAACTATCTATATTCATACACTTTTTGGTTACCAAAACTTAATAAATACACCTAAATTCCATACCTAACCTAATTTTTTTAGATTCTTACCTAAGCCAATCAATAATGCAGAAAAAAGAGTGATGGATTTAACGGTTGATTCTGTTTTCAAAAGGACAAATGCAAATGATTTGGCTTATAATACAACTTTTGCACAAATGTGAATAACGTGTTTGTTTGTTTTTTATTTCTTCGTAGGATGTGATCTTTTTTAGACTCTGTTAACGTGAGATGCTTTGTGTATTGAATTATTTATTTGTTCTTAACGACGGTGAAAAGAAAGTCCAAAATATCAACTCTTGCAAAGGATGAGGACCTTTTGGTTGGAATTATATGAACACTTATTTGGACTTAAATCAAATACGTAACGGGAAAATTCCGTTGAAAATCTCTCCATTTATTTTATTTTAATCTTTTAATATAATATTTTTATTTCTCCATCTCAGGTCTTTTTTGTTTAGAAAAAAAAATATTGTGCAAAAACATTTTTATTTAAGTATTTCTGCTGACTACAGTTTTAACTTATGTACTCCCTAGCCCCATTCTATTTTATGTGAATCTATTATCCACAAAGATAAGAATAAAATTTATGATTTTTTTTTCAGATTTTTACTCGTGAAATTTACTTATTATTATCGCGAAAGATAGTATATTGACTACACACAATTTTATTAAGAAAAAAGTTATGTCATTTAAATAAGTGAAACGACAAAAGAGAAATGAAAAGGTAATACGCGGTGTTTTTGTTTTTTGACAGTAAAATAGTGGTCATCTTTTTGTCACGTTTTATGCAATTATATTGTGGTAAATAAAAAACTAGAAAAAATAATGTAAAGCTGACTACATAACAATGATTGAGTTAAAATCAATTTGCAGTTGAAAAAAAAGAGTGAATTTATTGATCATAAAAAGTTAGTGCATGTGCTTAGTGATATTGAGAGTTTATTTTTTTTTTAAAATTATTCGATTAATAGTTATTATCTCAAAAAATTACTTTATTCATCAAAAAAATTATATATATTTAAAAACCATAACTTGAATGGTATATAAATTGTTGTTAGTCCTGTAATAAATTAAATATGTAAAGATATTCTCAACCATCAGATTAGTTATTGTTTCAAGTAAAATTAAATAAGAAAAATGAGTTAATTCAAATCTTATAATTAGAGATGGAGAAATTCTATCAAACGAATACTTGAAAAAAATAAAAGTAAATATATTAACAAGTAGAAAACGACTGAAACCTTAGGAAGTATAAAAAATAAGGGGGATGACACAATTGAAAAGTATTCATTGAACATTTCTAGTCACACAAAAAAGAGGTCAATTAGCAAGATAAGGTCACACATCTTTTGAAGGACGGAATAACACCAATACCAACGATGTTTCAATAAAAAGAGAAAGGTTTGTCAAGTTGTTGTCTATGGATACAAAAATATCCAAGAAGCACAGGCTGATTCGCAAATTCAAAACCATAACTTAGTAATGAGTGAAAGAAAACATTCGAGGTTTATCTGTTAGCGACTTATATAATAATCGAGTCCATAAATAATATTATAATTAATTAAATAAAGTATATTATTTATTATTTTTATTATAATGATACCCCAGAAAAAGCAGCACCTTAGTATCAAAATGATAATGATTCATTAGGAAAAAAACAAGGACGGACGGACGGACCACATAGAGAAAGAACAAAAAAGTAAATAAAAAGTTGTAATAGTGATAGGAAGCATCCAAGGACCAAGGCAATGCCATTTTGGAATATATATATATATATATATATATATATATATAAAATAAGATACACCACAATTGACTAAACAGAAAATAAATAAAAAGCATATTCTAATTTTATATCTATTTTTTTGTGGTTGGTGTAGTCCATTGCAAGTCGTAACTACCAATGTCTATGAACAAGACTACATAACTAGTTCTTGTTCCTTGTGTTTTTCTCGGTGATGTTTGAATTAATTTGTGCATATTTTTATATTATTGAGAGGTAAATTTAAAATTTAATGTCGTCTAAATTAGCTTTAGTTCATTTTCATATTTTTATAAGTGGATTTAAAAGTTGATGGCGTTCAAATTAGTTTATGCATGTCTTCATATTTTTAGAGGGAGATTCAAGATTTATAGTGAATTGATTTTCACCAATTATTATTATTATTTTTTAAAAAAACAAAACACTTTATTTTATGTGCTCAAGAGGAATCAAATTAAACCCTAATCAAAGACTGCAATTACAAAGTTAAAAGCAAATTCTTTTTTCTATCACTAGATCAAGAGACTATCTTGTTATTAAATAGTATTTGTTATGTGTTTGATAGATTTCTCAATATGAATACACAAGCTATGCAAAAGCTATTGAGTTCTCGATAATCCGCACCCCACACCCTAGATTTGTCCCCACATATTTCATGTTATTTTGAAACACATTCCTTTTGGGGTGGAGGTGGGGTGGGGTGGGGGGCTTAGTACATTTAGTCCTTCAATATTGATAATTTATATTTTGGTCCTTCTAATTTATGATTATGTACATTTGGCCTTCGATTAATTAATATATGTAATTCTGATCACTAAATGAATATTCACAAATTTAATGAATTATTAAACAATTTAATATCGATGTATTATGCTAAATTGTGCGGTTATTCCATATTCAAGGATAATATAGGTGTTAAAATAGTCTAGATATGATATATTTTCTTTGTAAAAGGACCAAAATGTACATTTTCTGTTAACTAAATAATATTAAATATGTTTAATCAAATATAACAAAAACTAAAAACAAGAATTCATCAACAACTTAGAGACCAAAATATAGTTATCCAATTTCCTTTTAATATGTTTTAGAGAAAACGTTAATCATTTCTTTTATATTTAGAATTTAGAAAATAATTTTTATTTTTCCGTCTTCCCTTAATGTCGTGTTCCTATAGGTTATAAGAAAGAATGTGATATATAATATATTGATTTTACATGTCAAACGTTTTATTTTTTATCTTAAAATTATACACTTAGTGAAGCACCGTCCAATGAATTCGATGAAGTATTAAGGTCAATGAGTAGTAATGTATTCTAAAACATTTGTGACTTTGTATTTTTTTAAGATGTGATGCATATGAATCTTGATTAATACTTTATAAAAATGTATTATTTTTTTTAAGTTCCAACAAATTACATAAAACATAGAAATAGGGTTGTGGAAGAAGGAATAGTATAACTTCATGATTTTAGATTCGAATCCAAATATATATAAAAAATAATAATTTATTCAATTAAATTTTTTTAATTAATTTTGATACGAGTTTAAATTAATCGGAAAAAAAATTCCTAGACACACATGGGTTGTCTTTATCGACGTCATTCCCCCACGCCCACCACCCCATATTTCACCATCAACTTTGGGCGGTCTCTTTCATATAAAAGAGGTCCCATATATTAAAATATATATATATTTCAAATTATTAGTCAATACAACTATTAAGAATGCCTTTCTTTTTCTGAAATTTACTTTTATTGTTCCAAATATTGAAGTATTGAAAAATATATAGTATTATTTTAAAATTGTGGTGGCCGGGGGAAAGGGAGATGGGGAACTGGGAAGGGATCATAATGCGGAGAATCGAATCCTCACAACAAAGGTGGAAATTTAAGTAACTCTCCAACTAAGCTACTAAAATTTCGTGTATTAAAGAATATATATGATAAATTTAATAGGCATTTTTATAACTAATACTACTTCAGTCCGTCCCAATTTATATAAAAATATCTAATTGCACGGTGGGTTTAAGAATGAAAGAATTTCTTTTTATGAAATATGTTATGTATCTAAATCATCTCATTAATATATAAAAGAAATAAAATAAGAATATGTTATTTATTTGAAAGTGTCACAAAAAGTAAAATATACTATAAGATATTAATTTTTAAAGAATATAGGGAAGTTTTAAAATGTTGCTCACACTCTATCAATCATTTTAATTAACCTTAGTTGATTTAAGATAAAAGTAAGAACATATATATATATATAATCACAATTAATGTCAAAATTTGTGTATAAAAAATTCTTGTATTACATGATTGATCGGATGTAAATAGTGGCAAATTTATGCATAAGAAAATGGGTCACATGAATATGTAATAGTGCACACGTTATTTTAAAATTTTGAATTCGCCTCTAAATATTCGTCGTAAAATAATTTTTTCCACAATAATATTTTTCTTGTATCAAATTAAAAATAATGGAGGAGTAATATTTTAATCAAATTGTTCTATCAAACCAACCCCACCAGCCCTACAACTCTCACGATTGTTTTTTTATAGGGCCACCTAACCTAAATGTAATAAACCACGTGATATTCATTTTTTAATTAAAATATAAAAATATTTGGAAGGATAAACTAATAAATTATTCAATAGAAAATTTTATCCATGACACATGTCCAGAGTTGTTTCAATCACCGACAGTACCTTATCCTTTTTTTTTTCTCATGTTAAGTTGATTTTTTCAATGGAAATATTTTTATAATAATTGTGATAATACAAATGTGGTCAATGAACGATAAGAGAATAACCTTATCTACATTTATGTGATAGGGCAATTAATTTTTTTTAATCAATTTTGTGTGTTATATGATTGCTTTTTTCGTAATCAGATGTCTTGAGTTCGAATTTTGAATATAATTTTTTTTAGGAGAGTGTGCAAATCCTACGCAATGTGAATTCGATTAAGTCAACCTTTAATATAGGTATTAAACATCGATAAAAAGAACAGGAGATAATTTTCAAACATAATTTAGGTGAAAAGTAATGATGTCGGTATTCTAATTGATGATTATATAATTTTAATTAATGGTTGTTGAATGGTTACAATTCAATTGACAGTTTCTTCACTCTTAATTAATAAAACGCTTGCATGGTTTGACAAAAACAATTAAGTAAAAGAAATATTAATTAAGAAGGAATTGACTTTCCATAATAGTGACAACACAACAATGATTTACATTATGGAGTTGGATAATGCAAATAGTAAAAAAGAAAAAGGTAATAAATAAATATTTTGTACTTAATTTGGTAAGTGCATTAATGAACTTGATTTTACTATAATTTTTATAGAATATTCAAAATCATTATCTTAGTGGATCGCAACATAATCTAACTTTTGTCCTTATAATTAGTGGGGAAATCTTATACCTAACTAAATTTAATGTTTCATTAGTAATATTCAATCTAATCTCATAAATAAAATTTCAAAAGAGCAATCTTATCTTGTCGTTTTGTAGAGGTACATTATTATTTTCAATAAATTCTTAACTTAAATAAAATATAATTTCATAATCTTTATAGATAGTATACAATAAAGTAACGTTCAATACGAATGATGAGCTAAATATGATCTCATATTAATGAGCAAAAACAAATCTAAAAATATGATTAACTAAGAAGTCACTTGTTATGAAAATAAATTACACAATAGAACCATTACTAAATATATTCAAATTTCAAGATTTTTAACATTGACTTTATTGTGTTATTAAAATAATCCCTTTAGATTTAAATATTTACTGACATTTTAGTGTATTCTTTTATAAGGGATAATTGTACAAAATAACAAACTTATAATCTAAAATAAATTGAGTAGCTATTATTTGATTTAATTGCGCCCCGTAACAAACGTTTGTCAGTCGCCTCTCTCCCTCTAAATTCTCGCTCGCCACTCTCCCTTTCTCGCTAGCTCCCTTTGTGCTCACCTCTCTCGCTTTATACAACAAAATTGTATAAATTGTGTTTCTGTTTGTATAAAGTGAGATAAAATTGTATATACACATGCAAATACATATATATTCGTCTTATACACTTATAATTATACAATATAAATATTCCACTGCCCAATTCTCTTTTGCCTTTTTCTCTTTCTCGTTTTATACAAACACAGATTATACAAATATAATGTATAATTTATGTTTGTATAAAGCGAAAGAGAGAGCGATTTTTGATATACATATATTTTTGTCAACGATTTATACAAACGAGAAGCTAACAACAATTTATACAAATGGCCTGCCAGCGAAATTATACAAATCTCAAGAGGAGCCAACGAATTATACAATTGCTTCTTTTTGTATATATGTATAGCGAAATAGACATAACTTTCAATTGTATATGTATAGCGAAATTATACATATATATGTTTGTTATAGAGCGCAATTATGCAAACTTTGTTATAACATACAAATATGATTTTCTTGTCTGTTATATGTGAAAATTGCTCTTTTTATAATGTATTTATACTTCATATAGTAAATTATAAATTTAGATGAATTGTTAGTCGAAAAGTTACATACGCCCCTTGCGCTTCCCATATGCCAATGTGTACCTACAAAATTCTCAAGTAAATAAAATAACATACGAAAGATTTTTGTATAATTATTTTGTCCTATATTCGGTCCAACTAAATTCAATTTATGAGAAATTACCTTATTAGACATACATACGTATCATATATACTAGTTTTATCTATACTTTCAAATAAGAGTTTTTTTTAGTCACATATTAATACACTTATATACATATATTTTTGTTACCAGATACACTAAAATAGGAAGAGAGATGAGCGAGATGGGGAGGGAGGAGCGTATCTCAGATACATACGAATCACACTAGATATATGTATTTGTACCAAATACATAAGAGAGTGTAGAGCGAGGTGGGAGGGAGACAAGTGGGATTTGTTATGTATTTTAGATACACGCGAATCCACTTGGACACAGTATACATCTAGAACAAATTACACCTAATTTTTATCTCATATATCCCGAGACAAATGAATCTAGACACATCAAAATCTATGTGATCTTCAACTTTAAACGTGTATAAGTAGACATTTAAACTATAATAAAATTAAACAAGTAGACATACACGATTCACACATATCAAACATGTTCTCTTGTAAACTGTATTGTAAATGTCAGCTGAGATCAAATTAAATATGGAATAAAACAAAGAAAGTTAGAAAATATTTGGGGAAAACACAACCGTAGAAACACGCAAAGTCACAATCTTTTGTTGCCTTTAAAAAGACCGAAAAGCTCACCAATTTTCCTCTCCTTTCTTCCTCCTCTTCAATTGGCCTCCTTGTTGCTCTCTCTCTCTTCTCCATCTTTCAAAACCCGAAAAAGGGTTACTTCTTTCTTGACCCTTCGTTCAGTTTCTGTTAATTTTTTGTAGGATTTTAGGCTCAACTGATACTATTTTTGTGTATAAGAATCATACTGGTTTCTTCACAAGTGGGGTTCGGTCTTTGTTAGTACGTTTCAATACGGAGTTGGCGTCGGTGGGGGCAAACTCCTGCTGATTCTCTGATTTATTCCATTTGGGGTTGTTGAGATTTTTTTTATTTTTGGATATTTTTTATCTGATCTTCTGTTTAAGATCAGGGGAACCTAGAGAAGAAAAGGGTATCCTAAGATATCCTCTTTTTTTTGAATTTATTCGTTGCCCAGATTGTTTAAAGTCTTCAAAAAGATGCAGCAAGATCAGCACAAGAAGGTTTCTTTCTTTCTTTATCTTCCTCTTTGAAATTCTTTAATAAAAAGGAGATCTTGATTGAGATTTCTTATTTCGAGCTTTTAAGATTTGAGGGTATCTGGTAAAGAACCCTAATTTGCCTTAAAAGACGAGTCATTATAGCCAAAGTTGATTGATTGAGTCAGCTGTGAGGATTATATAACTGTTTGTTTGTTTGAGGAAGCATGAAGTTGTTGACTAATTTTAGCTGCTAATGGAGGACTAAGTTATTTGATTATCTGAAATTTTAGTAATCTTCTAACCATATGAAGTTGTTGACTAATTTAGGCTGTTGTTTGATTAGAATATATTATTTAACAGAGATGGAGAATTTGCATATGAAGGACTAAGTTGTTTGATTATCAGAAATTTTAGTAATCTCTTAACCATATGAAGTTGTTGACTAATTTTAGCTGCTATGTAAAGTATTTAGAAATGTAGGTAGGTAACTCATTAAACAGAGATGGATGGTTTGCATATGGAGGACTAAGTTATTTTAGTAATCTTTAAGCATATTGCCAATTAACATACTTGTGAAAATGCCCTTGTGGGATAAATTGCTTCGACTTTGCAGCATTCTTTTTACTTTTCTTTCATAGTTTTGAAATGTTCTTTGTTTTCCTCTGCTTTTCTTCCTTTACTAGATTCTGGACTTCTACTTCATGCTAACTGCTGTGTTAGTTTGAAATGTAATCTGATGTTGTAGTCCTTTGATCGGGCCTCATTTGACTCTGAAATAGTATTTCATGATTGTCTAGTCTGATTTTCAAATTGGAATGTATTGTCTATTCAAGTCATAACTTAATCCTTGATTCTCTTTATGTTACAACAGAAGTCTACTGATCTGAATATAAGTGATACTGCATCAACATACACTTTGAGAATATCAAGCAACATGCAGATTTTATCTTATATTTAGTTTGTCTATTAGTCAGTAGACTATTGTAAACATGTCTGAGTTTTTGTTACTGTTTGTACAGAGTTCCAAAGAAGTGGAGTTCTTCACCGAGTACGGTGATGCTAATAGGTATAAAATTTTGGAAGTTGTAGGCAAGGGAAGTTATGGAGTAGTTTGTGCTGCAATTGACACTCATACAGGAGAGAAAGTGGCTATAAAGAAAATACCTGATATTTTTGAGCACATTTCTGATGCAATTCGAATTCTGCGTGAAGTCAAATTGCTTAGACTTCTAAGGCATCCTGATATTGTTGAAATTAAGCGAATCATCTTACCACCTTCAAGACGAGAGTTCAGAGATATTTATGTTGTTTTTGAGCTTATGGAGTCTGATCTTCATCATGTTATTAAGGCCAACGATGACTTGACACATGAGCACCACCGTTTTTTCCTGTATCAGATGCTGCGTGCATTGAAGTTCATGCACACAGGTAAAAGTCTTGTGAATTCGGTAACTGTTGGTATTATGACATCTACCATCAACTTCTCCTAAGGATGTTTATTCTCAGCCCTGTTTTGACTGACATATATATATATATATGTTCATTTCAGCTAATGTGTACCATCGAGATCTTAAGCCAAAAATATATTGGCAAATGCAAATTGTAAACTCAAAATATGTGATTTTGGATTGGCAAGGGTTGCATTCAGTGATACTCCAACCACAACATTTTGGACGGTAAGCTTTCGTGTTAGCCCTATGCCAAAAGCCTTCTATAAGATTTACTTGGATTTAGTTTAAATCATAGAAAGCTTTATAAGATGGACATTTTCATTCATTTTAATCTTTGATTTGACTGAAATTTTCTTATTTTTTGTCTTCTTCTGATACATCATGCAGGATTATGTTGCTACAAGGTGGTACCGTGCACCAGAACTATGTGGGTCTTTCTTCTCTAAGGTAATTTATGTGAATAGTGTGCAGCTTATTTTAACTTTCATGTAAAAGATACTTTTTGTTTTGAACCTTATCTATGAGTTCCATTCTAGAACTTCATGTTAGTGGTTCTTCTAATAGATCAAAATACTTTTTTGTCAAAAGATATGTGAAACTACTTCTCAATTTTCCCAACACCCTCCCTTGGGGAGCCGTACTAGAAAAAAGGAAAAGAAAAAAACCAACTCATTGCAAAGGGTGTTGTAAATGAGTTGGTATTAGACACAATTGTGTTTATGCTTCATTTATCTCTCAAACAAATGTAGGGTCACACATTTTTAGTCATCAATTAGTTAGCCACTTTATTGCTAGCCCATGCATAGTCACAGAACATGTTCACGCCTATTTTTGCTGGATTCAGTTGTTAAGATGCTTTTTTTGGCATCATATAAAGCCTCCCTTTTCCCATGCTTTAGAAAGGTGAAAAGGTACTTGTATACATAGTGTTAAAAGGAAGGGCTTTCTGGTTAGAATAGAAGATTTTTGTTCAGTTCTGAGTGTATTAAATAGTGATGTGTAGGTTAAAATCATTCTTGTTCAGGGAGGACTATTGAACTCTCCTGGACGTTGATTTTTCTATTCTTCAGGTAACTGTGTTAGGTCTTGCGTCAATTTCTCAGTAAGGCCTTACTGAGGTTTTTGCTGATTTGTCTTCTAATTCGTGTATGAATTCCCTGCAGTATACACCTGCTATTGATATCTGGAGCATCGGGTGCATTTTTGCAGAGGTTTTGACGGGGAAACCACTATTTCCGGGCAAAAGTGTTGTTCACCAGTTGGATTTGATTACTGATCTTCTAGGGACGCCATCAGTTGATATTGTATCTGGGGTAAGAGCTGTCAGTTAAAATTTTTTTTTTGCTGATGTTAGCATTGCCTGACAGCATGTTGATAGAAGAGTACTCCTCTTGAGTGCAGGTTCGTAATGAAAAGGCAAGGAAGTATTTGACAGATATGAAGAAAAAAAGCCCAGTTCCTTTTACTGAGAAATTTCGAAAAGCAGATCCTTTGGCACTTAGACTGTTGCAGAGGTTGCTAGCATTTGATCCAAAGGATCGCCCAACTGCTGAAGAGGTACACTCCCTCATATATTCCTGATGTTAAGATTACGTGAATGACATCTCCACGTGCTTGTCCGTTTCTAATTTCATTTTCATTTTTTGTGTTTTTCCTCCTATCTTTTAGGCTTTGGCGGATCCATACTTCAAGGGACTGGCCAAGATTGAGAGGGAACCTTCTAGTCAACCAATCTCGAAGCTGGAGTTCGAGTTTGAGCGACGAAGGGTCACAAAGGATGACATCCGTGAACTAATATTTAGGGAGATACTAGAGTATCATCCTCAACTTCTGAAGGACTACATAGCTGGAAATAGTGGTGCAAATTTTCTCTATCCTAGGTTGTAATATACTTCTCTACTATTTCTAGTCTCTATTTTCTTGTACCACTATATCATTACTGACTGACGGTGCGACAATCATTGAATTGCAGTGCCATTGGTAATTTCAGAAGGCAATTTGCTTATCTAGAGGAGAATAGTGGTAAAAGTGGCCCAGTAATACCTCCTGGTCGAAAGCACGTCTCTCTCCCGCGGTATGATTCCATGAGTTGTTTGTCTTGTTGGTTGTGTCAATGAATATGTCTTGTTCCTTATCTTTTATGCTTCTCTTCACTTTATCTTCCCAAAAAAGGAGTTTTTGTTTGTTCTTGTATTTGCTGGATAAGTAACCTGACTGAAAAGAAGTTGTACTTGCTTACTCCCGAGGAAGTTTGGATTTGGAATATTAACTTGTTCATCACATTGGAAAAACTGTTACCTTAGAGCATGCCCCTTTTCCCTTTGGCTCTCTCCTTTCCTTTTTCAGTCTCTGCTTATTTGGGGCTTCATTACATATATTCTTAAATGTGTTGCAGATCTACTGTAAATTCCAGTACCATCCCCCCGAGAACACAGCAGAATCCTATGTTTGATCATAGGCAAGTAACAGAAAAGGCAACTGCTGGCGTCAGAGTCTCAGACCCGAAGGTTTTGCGACCACCACCTCGAGTACCCACAGGTAAGGTTGACATTGTTTGTGCTGGCACTCATAGTGATTATGTACCTTTTTGTCAACATCTTCAAAGTGAACTCAAATATTTCACCACATGTAATACATTGGACGAACTGGAACTCAGTACTCAGCTCAGGAGAAGGCTATTTAGGGAATCTTCTTAAGTGTGGAAGAGAGTGTGCGTGTGTGTGTGGGGGGGGGGGGAGGGGGGAGGGGGGAGGGGGGAGGGGGGAGGGGGGAGCAAATAAGGATGAGGAGTGATCATATTTAAAGGTGCCCTAATGAGTATATACGGAATGCTGAAAGTTAGGAAGTGTTGTATGCTTGTTGGAATCGCTTTTAATGTCCTTGTCAAATATTAGTGATAGTGGGTTGTGCATGTCTGTTTGTTTGATTCTTCTTTAATATTCATTTCTATCATTTTCAGCCAAACCTGGAAGAGTTTTAGGACCAGTTTTATCATATGATGGTGACAGAAGCATCAAAGAAGTCACTGATGGAAGAGTATATCCCCAGAACTCTGTTGTCCAACCTCATGGCATGTCTCCACATTATCTGTTCAGAAGTAACTCTACACATCTAGAGAGGTGTGGGACAGAAGCAGAGAAGGACCGCTCTCAAGTTAAACCGCAACATGGCCAGTGCATGGTTGCCAAGTCGTCCGCTAGTATGAGTTTTGAGATGAACACTAACCCATATTACCATACACAGGCAAGGGTAGCACAGTTGGGAGGTCAAATCGCCATGGATGCAAAACTACTACAGGCACAAACACAGTTTGGTGCAGTCGGTGCTGCAGCTGTTGCTGTTGCCGCTCACAGAGAGGTTGGCACCGTTCAGTATGGTCTAACCTAGTAGATACTATTGTTTGATGGTTCTTTGAATCAAGTGAGGACATCCACCTTGCAGTGAGACAGTTCAAGATGTGCATTTTCCCTCAGATCAATCAGCATGGGAGATCTGAAGAGGGACCTGTTAACCCGGTAGATGAAAACCATTTATTAGTCGTTAGGGTCTCTAAATAGGTATTCTTTAGGTTCAGGTTGCCCTGTTGAGTTAGTATTTATGCCCCCTTGTATGTGTATATAATATATATAGGCGATGCATCATTGATATTAATGAAGAAAAAAATTGTTCTTCTGACTTCCTTTCCTTAACTCTTCATATTTGATGCGTGATAGAAGAAAGATTCTAAAGAGAAAAGGAACTCATTTGAAACAATGAGCAACAAAAGAGAGCAAGAGATTGATAACATAAATATAAATGAACTAAAAGTGTATTTGCTTGCTAAAGGCGGATCAACAAAGATAGTGTACACAGACTTTTCACCTCAGCGTTGGAAGTGAGAGGTGGTCTCACAGTTCAAATAGTATGGAAAAAGAAATAACAACAGTGAAGAAGCCTTTGTGTGTATTTGGAGTACCATCCTTGTGCTTTTATTGATTGATACTCTCCAGAATTAATTCACCTTAAATGGGGAATCAGTAGAAGAAGATCCTACTGAGTGGATTTCAAATAAACAATTCAACTACTATCTGTTCATCCTGTCATGTAACAAATTTTTTATACCTGAACTTATGGATGACCAATATTTCTTTGCTGGTGCGGAAATACTTGGATTGACAGTGTATCCAGGCAAGTTTATGTACACCTCGCCTCGATGATAAGCACAGTTAAGCCAATGAAAACTCAGTATTTCACCTTTTCATTCATCATTTCTGAGGAAGAATTTTACTGCCTTATAACCTTATCACATGACTTTATGCATAGATGATACGAATTAGATGATTGAATATACAATATAATAAGAACATTTAATCATAAACATTAGATTTTACTGTTCAGATTTTGGCACATTTGCTTGTTAACAGTTTAGATATGGCAATGGGATAATTCCTTCATAGATTGTGATCAAAGCTTTTGTTGGTAACTAAGTGATATTTCATAAACATAAATAAAAGAATCTCCAAGCCTTGAGAGTTACACTTGTGTATAAAGTGAAACAAGCAAAGAGAAAAGAAACAAAAAAAAAATACTGTATTCCTAACTAAAAGTGAAACTAGCAAAGAGAAAAATGAAACTATCTATTCATCTGTCACAATGATATCAAAGTCGCTAACGACCCATTCAGCAAGTTGATTGCTGCTAACATATATCTCAGTTCCCAAATCAATAGATGGCCAATGCCTCTCAGCTGGTTTAGTAAATGGATCCTGCAATATCACCCAAGAAACAATGTTACAATTCATCTAGGGGTTAATGCATTCTTATTTTTCAGGTACGTTACCTGTAGTTATCTTTTAGCAATCTAATAGTGTGTGGAGAAGTTAAACGCGTCAAAATATAGTCAAGTACCTGATAGAAGTAAAGTGATTGTGAGAGTCTCCCGACATCAAGTTCCCAAGTTCTTGGATCACCTATCCATCCTTCCCCTTTCTTAGTTGGATATCCATATTCACCCCAAACAGGGTGAGGCAGAATTTGAAGTATTTCCTGAGCTTGAGGGTTGCTATATTCATCACAGTGATTGAATGGTTCCTCAAGATACATTCCGTTGCCTGGGGAGCAATGCATATGATAAGCATCATAGGGAAATCTTGCCTCATCAGTACGATGAACTCGAGTTCCATTTGCAAAAGTATGGTAAATTGGGCACAACTTCAAATTCTCCTTGGGGTTGCACCCTGGTGATACAGTATGAATATCAGGATTGATGATCATTTCACTGTAACGCGTTACATCTGTGGTGACATCCCCATCACAAGGCTGACCATTGTTCTTCCAGCAGCTACCTATGTCCATTAGATAGAATTGGCTTCTTGGACCACCTCCTTTTATCACATCTAGTGTGAACCTCACTTTGAAATTTGGTGACTTTGGGACCTAATTCCATATCAGCAAACAGAACATAAGATTGTATAACAAGAAAACTACTACTACTACAACAACAACAACAACTATGACTCAATCTCAATCAAGTTGAGGTCAGCTGGGATTGGCTATATGAATCTCATTATACATGTCGCTCCATTTAAGATCATCTCTATGTGTGTATTACCAGAAATTCTCTATATTTTGACAAGAGAAAGACTCCTGGCAAGCATTGGACCTAAAGTAAATGTACTAACATGACTAAAACATAATCACGGCTAATTGATATCGCCTATAGGCATCATTTTCCGCAAGGTTTACATGGATTGTAGGTCTTTTTCAAGATATTATATAACAAGAATATGATAACAACCATTAGGAAGAGAAACTTACTATTTTTGACATGCCTCTTGTTTCATAATGATATCCACCAGAAAATCCAGTAGTTGCATCAGACCTCAAGTAAAGCATCAACCAAGGGTACTTTGATGAAGTCTTCAACACATGATGAAATTTCCAGCTTCCTTTTCCAAGAATCTTATGCCAAGTAACAGAGAAAAATGAAGTATCATTCCGAGTCTTCGCTGTACTCATATCAGCATCCAATTCCCATGTCCCATGAAACCCCCCCTTCAACTTAGTCACCTTTGGATGTTTCCTATGACTATGTAATGTGCTATAATCATGGTATATCCTAGGCATATTCATGCAACCTTTCCCAAAACACGGAAATCGCGGTATTTGATCAAATGGTTGAGATGGTATGCCATTTCTGGGACAAATTGCTGCTGTTGTGTCCATGTTGCCACTCTTGAGCATGATCATCCAAAAATTCCATGGTTTTGGCTCATCTTGAACTTTGCATTTGTATCCTAAGAACAATTCTTTCCAAGCTGCATACATATCCACATTCAGGTAGTATTGTCCTAAGCTTTTGGCATCATGTATACTTAGTTTGTTATCAAGCTCATTCACCAAGTGAACCAGCTTTGCTGCAAGATCAATATTTTTACTGTTACTGATTTCTATAAAGAAAATCAAAAGCATAATAACTTGCAACAGACAGCAAAAGAAAAGAGGTTAAGATACTTTTTGACAGTATAATAAGTTCAATGTTAAGAATTCTAAAAGTCGAATCCATTAAATTAAATCCTGAATCCGCCTCTACCACAGTTCTAACTCGAAACCTTTAATTAAGGAACATTAATTGTATATTATTCTATGCCTCACACATCTAACACTCACATGAGTCACAAAATAGTTTTTTAACTAAAGGTGTTAGATTCGAGTTATGTGGGACCTTGACAATGCAAATACTGAACATTAGATGATGAAAAAAAGAAAGTAATATTGACTTACTTCTATTATTTGATTTTTGGAGATCAAAACAATCAGCATGCCTAGGACTTCCCATATTAGGAGCTTCTTCATACACTTCATTACATTGATTCCATGCCTCTATAGCAACTCTTAAATTATCCCTTTTCATACCTGGATCTCCAATGGCTGATTTCACTTCGAAACTACATGATAATCTAGCAAAAAATATAACTAAAACTACTTGAAAAATCACCCAAAATCTCAAACGTGAAGCCATGTTGTTTTTCAATATTTTCATCATTGTTAAAATATAAAAAAATATTAACCCCATTATATAAGGTTGGTAAAGTGTTTGATTTGGACAAGAAGTAAATTTGTAAGTTTTATCCAAATTGAGATTTCGTAAATATTGTCATATTATCTCAATGTTAGAATCCTTTATAGAGTCAAATAACAGTCTTCTCTTGTATGAAAAAAACAAGTACTAGTAATAATAATAATAATAATAATAACTGAGAAATTTCAAAGTATGATAAATACAAAAAAGAAAAGAAAAAAAGATTACAAATTTTAATTATCATAGAGTACTATAGCCTATCAACTACTCTAATACTACCTAAAAACAAGGATTCTCTTTTTTGGTGTAACGCATTAGAGCTCCGACTAAATTCGGACTGCTCACTTCAAAGCCCATTCACGACAATCCCAACAGAATTTTCCCCATACTCAGAACTCATAGTCCACCACTACACCACAAACCATGTTGGTAAAAAATAGGATTCTCATTCTTCTCTTGGCACAATCTTGAACTTCCCAGTTTGTTGTTGCTGCAATACAAACCCAAAAATTATTGTTTACGCAAAAAATTAACTTTTATGACAGTAAAACACAGCTACTAATTTTAAATACGAGATCATATACAGAAGAAGCAGATCCAAAATTTAAATTCTATAGGTTCAAGAATCCAAGTTTCAAATACTTAAATACAAATCTAAGCTACAATTATAGCAACGAGTTCATCTAAATCCAATATTTTCTATAAGTATCACAAATTTATGTGAAAAAAATACACTTAAAATTGAAACTAATAGTCTATCTAAACCTACAACTTTAGAAAAAGCACGTTAAATATTGAATCAATAAAGTTCAAATTTTGAATCCACACCTAAGATAACTAAAGGCAAGTTAATGTATATAAGTTAAATCCGAGCACGAAAAAATTGAAAAAAAGGGTAAAAAGATTCAACCTTTTTCCATAGTTCAGTATGGCTACTGCAAAATCCAGCAACAACACCGCCATTTTTACGTCCTTCTGTGTACTCAATGCAGAGATCACGTTTCAACCCACAAGTAACATGGAAAGACAAAGGGCATTTCGGCTCAGAACAATCAATAGCACATCCTTTTTTGGATTTACAAATGTAACACTTTTTTTCCCATCTTCTTTTAGGAACTTTGCTGAAATCAATTCCTTCACGACCTTCTGGATCGACGAAGAAAACTTCGGGAACAAATAGTGAACAAACAACATGAGCCCATTTACCTTCAATCACAGTAGATTTCAATGCCCCGCCGGATTCAGGACAGAGACAACAAGTAAAAGATTTTGGGTTTGGGATCTCTGATTTTGAGGCTAAACATTGAGCACAAAACCAATCGCCTTCTGGGATTCCATCTGTAAAAGGATGACCGTAACAAGATGTATGAACCATCAAATCACAACCGTCACACAAAACGATTGGATCTGATGGATCTCCGTCCGTGCTATTACAAATAACACAAACAATCCCATCATCGTCATCCTCATCCTCATCCACATCAATGTCATCATCTGTTGTTTTCTCAACCAATTTTTCTCCCTTGATTTCATCGTCATTAAAACAAACTGGGTTATAATCCTCATTGAGGTCAAATGGATGAAAAGCCCAAACACGTTTCTTCGCGGGCAAACAGAGAGTAGTAACAGTGCTGTTATTCGTAAACGGTGGAGGAGTTTCTGGAGAGAATTTTCGCTTTTTAGCAGGAAGTTTTGATGATGAGACAGATCCATTTTGTTTTTGATCTTGTTGATGCATCAACATGAATCTTTTGGCTGGAGGTAAAACCTGAGGTTTGCCACCCATTGTTTTCTTTTTTTATGAGATTGAGAAGATTGTGTGAGAAACTGAGATGTGGAAGAAGAGGGAAAAGGGGATTATGAAGTAGAGAAAATTTGGAAGAAAAAACCCGGGAGGATTAGCAGTCAAATTATTTGAGTTTTTGAAAATTCTGGATTTCTGCCATTGATTTTGAACTTTTGCAGTTTCACTTTAGCGGGAATGGCTCCAAACTTTAGAATTTTGCGCCAATTTCTGCGCAATAAAACGACGTGGTTCTCCCTTATTATTATTTTTGAGATAAAGTATTGAAAGCATCTCTAAATTTCACGCAAATTATTAGTTTTATATGTGAATTATTGATAACTTTAAAAATACTTTTTTATTTGACTAACTGAATTAATAGAAAAATTGTATATAATAGCAAACTATTAATTCAAATTAAATGTTATAAATATAGTTTGATTTAATTGTACCCCATAGCAAACTGTTGCTATTTCGCCTCTCTCCAGGTGAATCTCGCTCGCCACTCTCGTTCTCTCCCTCACCTCTCTCACTTTTTATACAAACGCAAATGTATAAAATGCGTTTCTGTTTGTATAAAGCGAGAGAAAATTGTATATATACATATATTTTCGTTCCCCTCTCCTAGATTTCGCTCGCCACTCTCCCAGATCTCGCTCTCTCACTCGCCTCTCTCACTTTATACAAAAACGCAAATGTATAAAAAGACGTTTGTGTTTGTATAAAGCGAGAGAAAATTGTATATATACACATATTTTCGTTCCCATCTCCCAGAACTCGCTCGTTCACTCGCCTCTCTCACTTTATACAAACACAAATGTATACAGTGTTTGTGTTGTATAAAGTGAGAGAAAATTGTATATACAAATACAAATGCATATATTTTCGTCCTATACAAATACGATCTTCCCTTGCCCAGTTTTCTTTTGTCTTTCTCTCTTTCTCACTTTATACAAACACATATTATACAATTGATATTTTGTATATGTATACAAAAGCAGATTATACAACTGCTTTCTTTTGTATATGTATAGCGATATTATACAACTGTTTTATTTTGTATGTGTATAACGAAATATACATATTTATGTTTGCTATGAAGCGCAATTATGCAAACTATAACTATAGCATACAAATATGATTTTTATGTTTGCTATATGTGAAAGTTAACACATAAATTAAATTGAGAGACTCTCAACGATTTATACAAACGATAGGCTGACAACAATTTATACAAATGGCCTGCTAGTGAAATTATACAAATCTGAAGAGGAGTCAGCAAATTATACAATTGCTTCTTTTGTATATATGTATAGCGAAATAGCCTAGTCATAGCATGTTTGCTATGGAGCGCAATTATGCAAACTTTGTTATAACATACAAATATGAATTTTGTGTTTGCTATATGTGAAAGTTGTTCTATTATACCCTAATTTTGTAACACGAGCGAAATATACCTTTAAGTTTTTGCCAAGTTATGAGGTGTTTCAACAATTCTTTCAGATTTTTTTATTAAGAGTCTCTTGCTCCTACAAAAGTTTGAAACCACTTGTTATATTTTGTGGTAAATCGAGATGTATTAAAGTTTAGTTAGTCAAATAGAGAAGTATTTCTAAAACTGTCAATAGTTCGGAAATGAAACTAATAATTTAGCCAAGTTCAAGAATGTTTTCAATACTTCTCTCTTTTTATTTTGCACGCCCTATAAAATATACCGATTTAAATAAGTATTTTATCACAATATTCATATTAATTGATGTTTAATTTTAAATTTTTTTTTTTGAAAAATAAGTAATTACTGTTGAGGATCAAAGAAAAAAAATATTCTCTTCATGTGTTAAAGTATAAATATATTTTTAGTATAGTAGACGAATAAAAATCAACGAAAGAGTATTTGGCTAAATTATTTACGTACCATTTAATGTGATAAACGATTTTATGTTTCTTTTCGAACTTTGAAAACTTGGTTAAACTTCTTAGAAATTTACATAGACCATTTATTGGAGTATATAGTCTGAGAAAAAAGAATAATTATTGCCTTCTTGGTTTTCTAAAGCTGAGGACTGTTACGCGATATTTAAGATTGCTTGAAAAAACAAAAAAGAAATATCATGTATTGATAAATTTGTAAAAGATTAATAACGAGATAATCATATTCAACATCTTTCATCCCATTTCAAGTGTTTTATGTCAACATTGGTGGTTTTTAAAACCATATATAAAATACTAGGAGGAATTTTTTTTAGTCTAGTTTTTAAAATACAATACAGTAAGAAATTTTTTGATAATCAGATTTCACTATTTTTGATTGCCAACAAGGTAGCATAATTAATTTGGGGAAAAGGGAGCCACAAAATAGCATCACAATTCACAAGGAAATATAAATATTCCCAGCAATTTGTTCATAAACAAGTAGTGCTGGAAAATCCACATTGCTGGTAACTGCTACACTTGATAGCACAAGTTGCAAAATACTAACTGAGATAAATCAATTGCCCTGCCAGACTGAATATAAGTACCACTTTAGCCGCGGGATTCTGCCTGTTGCATACAACAAACAAAACTTTCTTTAGATGATATGCAAAAACAAACAACACTATTCTCGTTCAAGTTATCTCAAACATTGGTGTAGATCTAAAAGCCAGACACACTAAGGTCTTTTCAGCATGAAGGAGAAGAGTATGATATCTTGAATTCATGAGCACAACTACCCCTCCCCGACCAACAAAAAGAAAGAAGAAGAGCAACCACAAGTCGTAATCATAAGAAGATGACTCACTTAAAATCATATCTAAAGAAAAAAATAAGATTGGAGAGAAGTCGCCTCAGTTAGTTTTTTTAACACTATATAAGAATTCATGCAAAAAGAACAATACGAGCAACACAACCAGCTTGCATTAACTCAAAACAGTGTTAGTTCGCTTACATTACATCCTGTGTTTGCCAAGGATTTCCTAGTTTATTTTGAGACTTGCATGTCAATAAGCATAAGTAGGAGATTTTGGGAAACCCCTTGTGTTACAAAATCTCTAATTTTTGTCTTAAAAGATACATCAGATATAGAGGATTCAAACAACCAACTCAAGCCTGTTTGGGATAGAAGTTTAGGTGTTCATTTAATGGAAGAAAAAAAATGACTACTACAAAATTTGATGAAACAACTTGGCATTTCGACCAACTTTTTCAAGCTATAATTTTGCAACTGAGAAACTGGTTAGTCTGACTTAATACGTTCTTCATAAAAGATACTTTTGGTGGGAAGTGTACAAAACAAAATACTTCCTTAAAGTAATCTTCCAGAGTGGTTGAATGTAAAGATCACTAATTCACTAGCTCATAATGAATGATCAATGTGGTGATAAGGAATCCATAATGATGTTAAGTTATGGTCATTTGTAGTAAAGAGTAGAGTAAAAGCAATATTTAAATGGTAGTGGATCATTTTATGGAACAGAGGTATTAAAGAAGGAAGCAAGAATTGACTTTCCCTCCTACATGTATCTCTTCCCCACATTTGCTGCCAAACTTTTCCGTGAGGAAACCATTATGTAAAGTCCAAGACAACCAAGGTTCACAATTACTTCATCAATAAAAACATGTTGTCTTAATAAATAGGGCCTAAATATTGCAATATTTCTGTTATAAAAGGCTAAAGAGATCCAAAAGAAAATCACAAAGATAGAGAGAAGAGAAAACTGGTCTTAGAACGTTGCTAAATTACTTAAAAAACAAGCAGTCATCTGATAAAAGTACTCATTTGGATAATGATAAGTAAACACTCACCGGAAAATTTCATGCTCGAGTCATCGATGAACGCGTTTAGACATTGGTTATAACCTGGAAGTAAAAGAAAGATTAGAATATGAATTACAAGGATAGGTCCTAAAAAGTAGCATATTTCATTATATGAATCAAAGACACCTTTGAAAACCTAAAAAAGAGTACATTGCCTTCAAACCATGAGACCAAATAAACAGTGGCTTGAACTACAAACTAGGTTTCACAGAATCAACAAAGCAGTAGAACGGCATAACAAATATCAAGAAGTACTTGTACTACTTGAGCAAGAAAAACAATCTCGTAGCAACACAGCTAGATTATCTCCCAAAATTCAACCCCATACAATTCTCCTCCTTTTCAGTTAATTTTTTCCTTTCCAACTCAATTTAGCTTCAGTTTGCTGATGTCTGTCAGCATCTTTACTAATTAAGAATGAAAAGAATTCACCCTTGTTGAGCATGTAGATTATTCACCCTTGTTTTTGAGATGGGGTACAGCAATGTGTTGAGCAGTATGGTTTCTAGGAGGAAAGTTATGGCGGTAAGGTTGGCATCCCAGAGCACTCCGTCGGTCCACACATGAGTTCAGATGTACATGGTTTCCTGGGCCTGTGTCCTATAGAATATCACAATGTACTAACAGGTAAGAGCACTTCAAAATGTTTACCTTTAAACCCAATTTAAGGTCATACTTGGAACTTGGAAGAGCTCCTGGCTAACTTAAAACTCCATCTTGGGTTAGTGAATTATCGTAAATCTCATATTTCCATCCACAAGTGCAAGTTCATACAAAAATTGCAACTCCTCCCAGCAAATATAAGGGAATGAGAACGGATCACAACAAACACTACTAGAAAGCTACCATATTATACCACATTTGATTGAAGTTATTTTGGCACACAAAGCATAGCAGAATGGCCCTCTGTACCTAGTCAACTTTGATACACCAACACAGTACAAGAATAAGTGCTTATCACAAATTTGCAAACAGACTTTGAGCCCCAAATACTTGAATGCCCGTTTAAGTCAAAAGTCATCAAGATTTTATGAGATAAGATGGTAAAAGTAAAACAGGTAATGAGCTGATAAGATGGTAAAGGTAAAAAGGCACATGGAAACTGCAATAAGCTACTGAACTAGCTCTAAGAAAAGTGTCTGCCTTACCAGCTAAACTAATTTACGACATCTAATTACAACACATACATATACAGAAAAAATCAATAT